TCAAGCAGTGATGCTTCTTAATATGTCACATGTCACCAGCACCAGCACCAGCACCAGCACCAGCACCAGCACCAACAACGCGGGCACACCCGGCCCTGCGCTGTGTTCCGGCCCGGTCATGGCCCCGGGTGCTTGTCGTCCTTTCTCAGGACGAGCCACCCACAGTGGAACACCCCAACAACATCAGCAACAAGAACAACAACGACAAATGCATTTCGTCACCGCACGGATATTGCGCTGCTGCGAAGCGTGTGTTTCACACGCCCGCAAGAGGGTCAATGGGATTCCCCTTCGGAGATGACGGAACGGTAACAGCACCAGCACCAGCGCCAGGGCCCGCCCCCTGCCCACATCACTTGCCCGCGCCCCACCATTGATATGCCTGATGGCTGCCTGATGGGAACCCGGCCAGCCAGCCAGCCTGCCTGCAAAAAAAGGACTCTCCTTCAGACTTCAAAGAAGCCAAAAAGTTGTCGTTGCATTGTAAATTATCGTACATCTCCAGTGCCTCTCATCAAATCTGCCCTGCCCCTTCCATCTGCTCAAACAGCAGTGCTTGATTCCAAAACTCATACCGAAAAATTATTCCTTGTTTACTTTACTGATTCGTAGCCGCATTTCCCTTCTGACGCTCTTTCCCGCGTCGTCCAGTGCCGTACACTGTATCAGCGCATGGTACGAGATAACCCCGAATCCGATCCGATCCCGCTCAAACCGATTTGAGAAATTTCCAAAACCGGACTAATGTCGAGATCGCAATAGTCGCCCACTCACCACCTGCATCTGAGCGGCGGCGGTTTCAAATGGGGCTGTACAGTCGAGGCGGGGGATGTCTCACAGGAACTGGCGAGAGTACACCCCCCCCTGTGGGCCCATGGGGGGACTTGATGAAGCCATGGGTGCTCCCAAACCCCGGGTCACACATACATACATACATGCATGCATACATGCATACATACATGCATACATACATGCATACATACAGCAGGAATACTTCTCATTGCACACGCACGCACGCGCGCACACGAGCAACAGACAACGTTGTCTCGGTAACCCGATCGCAGTTCCAATCGCAGCCCGACCAGTACAAATCCAACTACTCCATCCATCCGCATTCAGGCGGAGCATTACAGAACTAAACTAGTCTTCACCGCCACTGCTACGGCCACCGCCACCGCCACCGCCACCACCACCACCCGCACTTGTTACCAGCTGCCCAGGCTATGAGGCAATACCACCGAATCGAGGAACTTCTTATCATGCACTCCCCAGCCAGCCGGTGTACGACCAAAGTGGGTCGAAGATTATAAAACACGTGAACGCCGGAAACAAACTGGCTCCAACCGGAAGCCTCTGACCAAAACTGGAGGACATACACATACATACATACATACATACATACATACATACATACATAGGGGAGCGCTGATGTGTGCCGGCCGTCCTTTCCCGTGCGGCCTGACCCGGGGGCGGAGTGCACGAGACTAACTGGCCGTGTGCATCCGCCCCCTGCGCTGTGTTTCGGCCCTCTGGGCCCCCCGCCTTTCAGCCCACACTACAATCAGCGTCATACATACATAAATATATGCATACATACGTATGCATGCACCTTTGTCTGCTGCTGCTGTGCTGGTTACTCCAAAAACCCCTCCTCCTCCTTCACAACCCTTACAACTGGCTCTGTACTGCTAACCGCTGCCGCCGTAGCCCCTTCGCTCCAAGAAATGTCGTTTGTACTGCACCTGGCGCAGGACCTTGAGAGACGAATCCAGATCCACGTTGGGGTCTTCAAAGATCCTGGATCGAGTCGCCGCCACGGTTTCGAGAACCACCTGCATCAGCATCAGCAGTAGCATCACCAATAGAAGGACCAGTAGAAGCATCAGCAATAAAAGCATCAGAATCAACAACAGCAGCAGAAGGGCCAAACAGCATTCAAACGAATAGAAGAATCCAATCTACATCATCTAGGGTTGCGGATTCCCAGGCTCTGGGGTATGGACATGACCCACGAGGGCATGCCCCGCAGTGAACGGCAGCTTTTAATCATCAGGCTACCAGAACCAACGCTTATCCGCTTACATGCCTACTGTCGTACAAACCTACGTACCTCCCGCTCGTTGGCCGGTAGGTCGACATCCTCGTTCACTGCCTGCACCAGCCGCTGCAAACTAGCTAGCTTTCGGTGCGGCCAGCGGCGTATACCCAGTGCCCGACAGCGACGTTTCAGGTCAGTTGCGCTGATGCCCAGCGCCCGTACGACATCCTGTGCCGGCAGCTCGAACATCCCCCGAAGGGTCTCCAGCGTTAGGGCGTTACGAGGAATCCTGCCGACCACATGCACGCCGCCGCCGCCGCCGTCGCCGCCGACGACCCTTGTAGATCGCGTCAGCTGTCCTGGTGGCTCGGCGGCGGCGGCGGCGGCATCGCAGCAGAGGGCGCCGCCGCTTGGTCCTTCAGCCCCCAAGACCTCAGGACAGTCGCCGATGTCTTTGGTGGTGATGGCAGCGGGAAGGCCCCCGGTCGCTGCGGTGCCGGTGAGGGCGCCGCCGCCGCCGGCACCGCTGCCGCCAGCATCAGGGGAGCCCGCGGCGGCGACGGCGGAAGCTACAGCAGGTAACATGTCAGTATCGGATGTCTTGTGGGCGCTGTATCCCGTCGCCGCCGCCGCCGCTGCCAGCTCGGCAGCACAAGGCGACGCTGCGATCATGCCCGACGTGCTCGACTGCAGCCGCTGCTGCTGACGTGGATTACACAATCTACCGCCGCTATATGCAGTACACAGACTCATTGGGTCGTCCATGCTGATGTCCGCCGCCGAAATTGCTACGCAGGTTCCCCCGGCCGCTGTGGACGTTATAGTGCCGACGGCGGCGCTGGGGCACGGTGCCGCCGCCGTTGGCAGCAGCGGCGGCGCCATTGGCACTCTCGCCCACGCGGGCGGCGGCGGCGGCGGCTGTTGTTCCGGCGTCGATACTCCCCCCATCGTCGCACCGCATTCAAATTGATGACACAGCAGCAATTCCGTCGTGACGGTTGGGTTCGGTTGACAAGGGATGGCCGTTATAGAACTGTCGTTGCGACCGTTAGTTGCTGCCGGGGGGCTGGCGGCGTGCGGCAGCGGTGGCGGTGGCGGCGGCGGCAACGTCGCCACTGCCGCCGTCGTGGGATCAGCTCCATCACGTGGGACTGTCGCCATCGCGCCGGCGGATTGACACGGAAACGGAACGGAGAATCTGTTTGGTGCTTCTTGCTGCTGCTGCTGCTGCTGTTGAAGACCCAGCTGCTCAAACCGGTGCTGCTGCTGCTGCTGTTGCTGCTGTTGTAGCTGCTTAAACTCTTGTCTTTGCTGTAGCTGTTGTTGGTGGTGGTGGTGCAACTGCCGGCCCTGCTGCCGAAACTGCTGCTGCTGTAGCTGACGATGCGCTTCGCCGCCCGCTGGGAAAGCTGAGGCGTGGAGGCTCAAGGGTGGTGCTGGGGGATGCTGTACGATAGGCCATGGGGCAGCTTCAATCTCCGCATACAGCTGCTCCTCCAAGCCGAGGTCCATTCCGCTATCCGGATGCCAGCCGGACAAGCCTTGCGGAAGTCGGGCTTCTGCCGAAAAAGACATAAGCGGTATCGGGTGGTGCTGATGCGCTGGAGGGGAGAAAGACAGCGCGGACGAGCTTTGACTCCAAGGCCAAGGCATCATCAGTGCTGGGGCAGGTGAGGGCAAGCTGAGAGCCGCGCCCAAAGTCCCCCTGCTTGCGGGCTGATGCGACGGTTGTTGTTGTTGTTGCTGTTGTTGTTGATGGTGATGATGATGATGATGGTGATGATGATAATACTGATGTGATCGAAAAATATTTTGACTGGGCAATTCGACCGATGCGGCCGGCCGCTTCGGCTCGTAGCCGAAATTCGGACCTGACGGCACAACCTGTTGTTGCGAAGGCGAAGTAAACCCCGCCGGCAGTCCAGTCGACAAATTTGAAGGGTGAACATAGCGTCCGTCTGCGGCCGCAGCTAAGCTCGAGACGTCCTGTACACGCATGTAAGTGCCCAATTGATAGGAAGACGAGGGCGGCTGACCCGAGGCCCGAGAAGCCAAGGGTGCTTCACGCGCGCAATGCGAGCTTGTGTATAAATGCGCACTCGAGGAAACAAAATTTGCGGCGAAAGCAGGACCCAGTTCAGCAGCCGCTCTCGACGCCGGGGCATCGCTGCCGCCGCAGGTCACGAAGTCCTCCATTACAGACATCTCTTCAGGGGCGAAGGCACATCCAGTTTGAGGGTACCTCTCATAACTGTAGGACATACTGGGAAATCCGCACCCCTCGTTGTCGGTTCTGGCTTTGGCAGCCATCATTGACAAAGGACGTGCTGGACCTCCGAGATGGGCCCCGCAAGAGAGCATCTTGCTGAGCAGTTATCTTTGTAATGCTCCAAACATGTCCTGCAAACCAGAATAACGCATCCAAACGGCGACCCTGGCGATAAACGATAGCGAGGCACGTGGCAGTGAACCTAGCTTACTCCGCTGTGCAAACAAAGAAAGAGGTGCATATACGGACACTAATTATTCTCTGCAAGCTGCGACGTCAATAAAGCAGGGCATCCTCAGCGCCGTTTGTTCCATCCCGCCCGCGCGTGCGTTTCCAGCAGTGGCAGGATCGAACGGCCCAACAGGAGGCCAGTGTTTAGGACCACATAAAATCCTATGACCGCTGGCCTGCTACTAACCTTTGGGGTTGAAGACTCCGAACACCAAGGCAGCTCCAGCCACCAGGTCGCCAAGAACCCCTGTTGAAAAGCTACTAAGATGTTACAATAGACGAAGGATGAAACGAGCCAATGTACAGATGGAATAATTACTACTTAGGACGGCGGAACGCAGGTGGACGAGCGCTGAACTGGACTCCATGAGGCGAGCACGTTCCGCTCGCCCCTCAGGCAAGGGATAATCCAACCTGCAAAAAGAGCAGTTTGGCATACCTTTGGAGTCTGGGCAATGATAATTCACCGAAGCTTGGCGACTGCCTAATTAAGCCCTTTGAACATGACTATAAGTTTGTCCGCACGAGAAATCGCGTATGCCCAACACCATGGCCTTCCATGTAAATGTTTTGGCAAAGCTTGAAGCCTGCCCAAGTATATAGGAGAACCCTCCTCCAGGCGCTGCGACAACGCAGCCTTATTCTGAACATACTTTGTGTACTGCAGAAATACTGGGTAATGTGAATAATTCTCCAACTTGATGCAGAAGCGAAGCTAACGTTTGAAAATAGAAATAGTCAGCGAACTCACGCGCCCTCCTCTGCCCTCCTCACGCTCATCCACCGCCCCTTTTCCCCCCGTTTTTGACTGTTGTCGTTACATCCACATCATTTTCTCCTGTATCCCCACGGTTCAAACACTGAATACTGAAAACTGGCAGACATTCTGATGCTCCGCAAACATATATCTGGCTAAACGGCTGACAACGGGTCCACAGAGTGTTACCTATCAGAGTGCAGTCAGCAGCCAGGTCGCTTCCGGGGCCTTCCTCCCGTCGCCTCGATGCGCGTGAAGTGGCTACGAGAAACCAGTCGCCCGCAAGGAGTTAAAGCGGTTTTAGTTTAGGCTCTCCCCTTCCCTTCCCCCGCTGTACATGAACAATCGTGAGAAGGAAAGGCATTACTTTTCATCGACTTAACACTTCACCTAACCCAGGCATTGGACGACGCCACCAGCAGCTAGGAAGGACGCGAACCAGCAACGGTGACTGCTGAGCCGCCCACCCTCCTAGCCTTGTAACCGGCATGGAGGTCGAGGGCTACAGTCCAGCAGGCTGCAGACGCAACCGCTGTAATTTCTGCCGGCGCCGCCACATAAACCTTTCGTCTGCAGGCAGACTCGACGGCAATCAGGAGTCAAGACAGGCAGCACGATGAAAGATCCGCGACTCCAGGGAGGTGACATGAGGGATCTAAACCCAGGGATCTCAAGGGGGCCGGATGCGAAAAAGCTGGAGGACTTGGAGGCTGGTTCCTCCAGCTCGTATGGCCATGGAGATTTGGGCCTTTTGGACGAGCTCCCAGCACGCAGGTCCGCGAGCACTCCTCCTCCTCCTCCTCCTCCTCCTCCTCCTCCTAGCTGCGCGCGACAGCGGCCAACAAGAAGAAAATTGCCTTGCTGCACTTACTACTTACATCAACTTGATGCGCGGCAAGGGAGCTACGCTTTATGCCTGCTGTTTGTTATATATTCGACAAATCTGTACGGATTGTACAGCATCGATGGTTCTTTGAATTCTCTCAGAAAGAAAATATAACGAAAGCCAGGGTCCTACATGTCATCGACCTCCTCAAGGGGGTTTTCAGAAGGAGGTCCCGGGAAGTGAGATGTTTGGATGGTGTCATTTCCTGCTCCCCCCCGATGTTTAGCAGTATTAACACACATGCATACACTTGCAGCCCTGAACTTGCGTGCACACGCTATCGGGGCAGCGTGTATTTTGGGATGGCAAAGCTCATTTGCCATAGCGACAAGATTTGATTGTCCATCCATGCCGTCAGAACCGAACAATGTACGATACATATGTTTCGGTGAGGTTTCGACATCGCACTGTGGATCGTACGATTACGAGGTCGCATAGAGGACCACCACAACTTTTAACAGTTCCACATAAGCTTTATGGTGTGTCATAGGCTCATTTCGGTTTTTTTTGCAAGATGCAAACGGAGTTGTGGTCCCCTTTCTCAAAATTTTCACATTTAGTTGAAGTGCTCGCTATGACACGTTGGCGTGTGAGCTATTGGCATGTGCTATAGGCAAAGAGATAATCTTAAAAGTTGGCCTAAGCCTTCGCGAAGCCGGGTATCTTTAGTACCGACGCGACACGTCAGCATTGCAATAGGAGTGGGAGATGGGCACACGAAACGAACATATCGACACAAGCGAATACAAAAAAACAATAACTTTTCATGGAAATATCTTTATGAAGATTTTGGCCACGTGCTCAAAGAGCGAAAAGAGATATGTTTGTTTGGCGTCCTGCTAGCTTCCTGGGAACTAAGCATGGCATACCGAATTACTACTCATATAATAGCATCTGGAAAACTTTAATTGATTTTGCTTGTAAATGCTAACGGAAGCAACGCGGAAAGGGTTGGATTAATATCACGCCGGCGCCGCCGAATCCGTAAGGCACTGGGGGGAGCTCCCCAGACCCCCCCGATGAGTTTTTGTTTAGTTCGTACAAAGACAGGGGTTGGGGATTATCGCAACACGCGCACACCACAATCTCTCCATTGAAGTGTCTCTTGCACGCCAGGAAGCGGCGCGCACTCAGACGCTTTGACAGGAACACCGGTTGCACGGGTGACTGCTGTTGCTGAGCCCAAGCAAGCACAGACCAGTTAACCCCTACTCATTTGCTGCTGCTGCCAGCCGCCTGCCAAACGCGATTGCTCAATGCTAACGGTCATGCCTCAGCATTCAATCTCCACAACCCAATAGCCTGCAGCATCGTCAGGCACGTCCAGGCACCGCAACATGTCCCCCGTGCGTCCCGCGGGCTGCTTGCAGCCCCCGCCCACACCGAGGGATGAGGCACATCCCATCATGGGGAGTAGGGACAGGAAGAGGGACAAGTAGGTGGTCAGTTCGATGACCAGGCAAAATGGGCAAAGCACGCATGTCGTACAGTTGTGGGGAAAAGACATGTTAGGCCTCACGACATGCAGGCTGCGGGCTGATCAGTGGCCTGAGTGGACGGAATGCTGTACGGCTGGTACGGCTTTTGGGCCGCGGAACTTGTGTCTTTGATGGTCGCTTTATGATGCAACCAGTTAAGTGCATGCAGACGTGTACGAACACATACACACACATTATCGCACACACAGAGGGCATGAACTGACGCGCAAAATTCGCTCGCCTAAACCTGAAGTTGACATGAAAGATCCATTCTTGTTCATATCCCATGGGGGATGCACCATAGGGCCCCGGCCCAACCGAGCAAGGGACGTCAGGGGGGAAAAATGGACGGGACTGCTAATTACAAAGTGGAACGGCATCTAAGGTAAAGCCACATAATGGCACTTCGAGTGCCATATCGAGCAAAGTAGTGGTAACTTTTTTCGTAACAAAGAAGTTAGGGTTGTTTCAAGGCAGCCCTGCTTTGGGATATTTTAACGACGCGGCGCAAAATCACTTTCAATGTGCTCTACTGTCATACTCCACGACACCAAATCATGCAATCGTACGACTTGTAACTGCCAGTGGTTGACGTATTCTTCGAAGGAGTGTGTGGCCTGATTGTACGACGGAAGGTGTATCTGAAAGCGTGTGCATGTCCATGACCTGTAAGTACGTATTGTATGCAGCGAGGAGGAGAATTATCTTAATTAACAGCATACACTGGCAGTGCTAACGACCAACTGCCAACTGCTACCGGCATCAGCAACTAACTCGACCAGCTGACCTGTGCGGTTACTAACTAACACCCCTGAGCCCATCGCTATCGCCGTCGCAGCCATGGTTATCCTAACCCCCCACCTGCCATCATCTCACCTACCAGAGGTGAAGGGTGGAGGGAAAGAGGTGTGAAGTGGGAGGGGTAGGGTTCTCTAGCATAGAGGGGGAGGGTTCTCTGCGTGGCAGGCGGGAGCAGGCAGCGTCTGTGAGCCGTGCCTCTTATCGGGCCCCTCGCGGCAACAGGTGCTTTGCTTTGTCTTGCGCTGGAGCTCGTGGCCCGGTAGCCTCAAGGAAGAGGAGGAGGGCGCTTTCGATGAGACGTTTTATGCCATTGCCATATCATGTTACGTTTTTCGAAATTCGTCTCACAGTTACCATGCTGATAATTCTCGTTACAACGAAACATTTTCCTTGGTGATCTTATGCTTAGCTCACAACATGACATAGGGTACTTCCCTTCACGCACTACAACGCGAACGCACCAAAAAATGAACGCCTGCACTATTGCTGTCAGCTACAGGAAACGAACGGTGAGGCCATCCGGGAGCGATAAGGGGAGGCAAAACATTTCTTCCCCGACAACGCCCGGACAGATCAGCCCAAACCCTCAGATAAGACCCAGCTGCTCACAACATCAGGCGTATAAAGGAAATTACCACAAACAGGGGCTACCATTCAACCGATGGAAACCCTCATCACTCGCGCCCCCCCCGCCGCCGCCTCTTCCTGCACATCAAGGGCATTTTCAATGTCGAGCACACGACGGCTGCCATCCACTAGCGCTGCAGTTACCGACACCACATCGCGGAATACCGTCATCGCTATCGCAGCACCCAAGAGGAGCGACGCCACCTCCTCGTAATGTTGTACTACATCAGCTGTGCTGCAACCCCGCCCTCTCCGCACGCAAATGGAGGAACCCAACACGCACTGAGCCGAGCCCTCTGTCCAGCCGTCTGCAAAAGATTCATTTCTCCCGCCATCCCCTCGTGTGCGTGGCGGGGGGGGGGAGGGGGGCGGCTAACTGCCTAACCCCATCTTTAAATCGTGTACAGGGAGGGCCGTATACACGCGGAAATACGCCCCAGAAGGGATGGGGGGATGAAAATAAACGTCGCATGCACTGCCGTGTATCATTGCCGCACTTTTCATTGAACGTCGTACAGGTCTGAGCAGGTTTGCCTCGAAAACCCACGTCAGGCAAATGCCAGCCGTCCTCGCGGTATTGACCACTACCAGCCGATCAGCACCAACTGTAAAACAAACGGCCCAAGGTTGTAGGTCCAACCGCTAACGCTCTCCAGACAACAAAATGAGATGGTCAGCAACATGCCTCTCCTTGCGATGGTGTTTGAAAATTGAAAACACAAAAAAAACACTTCGCAGCAATATCTCTCCTCTTCAAAGACTTGTATGTAAACAAGTACAAAAAACACGCCGCGCGCGCCACGCCCATAAAAGGAGCCACAGACCCCTCCGTCCGGAAAATCTCCTCAAGCTCATCCACCACCAACCTGGCTGGAGCACGGCGGACTACGTGGCACGCGAAAAGGAAAAACCGCCGCAACGAAAAGCAGGCACTGGACAAACTGGGACAAACAAGGCACTGGAGACTAGACACCCACCACCAGGAGGAGCGCCAGCACACGCCGCACACGCGCACACACAAAAACATAGCCGACACCCCAGAAAGACGCAGACCCCCCCCCCACATCCACAAACCCACAAATCGACCATAATTTGACCAGGGATGCGCCTAAACGACCTCGCAACCCGAGCTCGGAACTAGCACTCGGAGCAGCAGTACGTGTCGCTGTTCACAGCAACTTGGGGTAACTAAGCACAGCATGTTCGCTTACGCCGAAAAAAACATCTCGACACCCTTGCGAGCATTCCTTGCCATGTTGGTTGCCTGAAGAACACCAACACACACACCGGCGCTAAACATGAAGATATCACCTCATCAGGGTCATTAGGCGAAGCATGGCGAAGAAGGGTAAGGCGAGGTGACGCGACACGAAGTCACGGTAGGTCAAAAGATACGAGAGCATGGGGGAACTGTGGTGCAGAAGAGAAGGGTTGGGTAGGAGGAGGAGGCAGGCGCTCCAAACGGGTAGCAGCTGTTGATGTGACGGTAGTGTTGTGCTTGTATAGGTGTCCTGCTGCTTTGCCCTTGAAGCTCTCCTTGCCTTTAAATGGTAGCGTTATCGGGGACCTTGGCGCCCTTGTCAATGACGACAATGCCGGAGCGAATGTAGATGCCTTCAGACTCGCGGGTACCCTCAGACACGCCGTCCTTGTTGACGATCCGGACGTTCTTGCCTGCGCGAGAGCGGAACGTGAAAAGGCAGGTCCGCAAACGAAGGCACAAGGTTAAGGGAGCCGAAAAACAGGAATAAGCGGTAACACGGAAAAAAATGAAGGGAAAGGAAACTAAAAGAAAGGAAAAAAGCAAAGAAGCAGGTTCCTTAGAACATCAAAACCTGCTTCCGATGGGCTTCGTGATCTGAAACACCGGAGGGATAGAAAGGAGGAAAAAAGAGACGAACGAAGTCGGGACCTGGCGCGGAACCTGGCGCACTGCTCGGGACACCGCACACTCCGTCTCAATTCAACACAATGCGTTCTGAGCCATCAGCTCTCCGGGACACGAGTCCCCCCCAAAGTCAAAAAAGAGTCCAGGAAGGAGTTAGGTAATACAGCGAGAAGGACCCCGGATAGAACCCGAGGGATTAACCCAGCAGGTGGTGGAGTCATCGGGGCCCAACGTGCCACCGCTACATCAAGTATTTGTAGTGAAGGTAGCACATCAGGGGGTAAACACGGAAGATCCCTAGGAGATGCCCTCTCTCTCGCTCCCAAAGCGACCCACCGACGCGAGCGTTCTTGTCAATGATGGCGTTGGAGATGATGCTGTTGGCGCCAATACCCACGGGCACATCCCCGGCCGCCAGCAGCGCGGCCCGCTGCTCGTCTGACTGGTAGTAGTCCGCGCCCATGATGAGGGCGTCCTGGATGGGAGGTTGGGCAGTTGGGTGGGTAAATAAGGTACAGGGAGGGAGGACGTCGCGGGCAAGGGTGGTGACGGGCTACCAGCTATGTATGTACGTGTGTATGTATGTGGGCGGGGTGTGTGGACACCAGTGGGCGGTTCGGACACCCGCACCTGGACGGTGCACCCCGAGCCGATGATGGAGCGAATACCGATGACGGCATTGGAGATGGAGGAGTCCGCCACGAAGGAGCCCTGGAACAGGACACGGGGAAAGAGGAAGGGGAAGGTACGGCAATAAAAGACGCGCCTTCAGTACGCATTCCGTACAGCGCCTTTCGCAGGGCAATGGAAATCATTTCTTCAATGATAACTACGTGCATGGCTTAGTCGTTTCTTGACAAGCGTTCCTTAAAGAGCAAGGATCGTAAAAACGACCTGTGTGTGACGTGAATGTGTACTTGACCCGAGAGGAGGAGAGAGCAAGCATCATATACAAGAAAGTCAGAAAACTCGACAATGGCCACCTCCGGAAAACCAAACATCAACAGAAATGCAGACATTTTATTTTCTTTTGTAAAACTTTGCACGTCAGATGAGAGATCAATGAAAACCACATCATTGAGAAAACATGTTGCAGAACAACACCACGCCGAGGTATAGATAAGATTCCCAGCCCCGCTTCTATCCCCAGGCCCGGCCGTTGCCCTCCGACAGCGTCGTCGAGCATCCTCCTTCCCTCCCTCCCACCCACCCACCCACAAAACCAACAATATAACACGACTACTCCCCATACTCCCCACCCAAAGCAAAGAACGCCATATCCGAAGAACACGAACGCACCTGCGCAATGATGGCGTCCGAAACCTTGCAGTTGCGGACCGTAGCGGGCGGCAACACGCGGGGGGACGTGTAGATCGGACTCTGAGGATCGTAGAACTCGAACGTGGCAGGCTGCGATACAAACACACCAATAGCCAATAGGGGGCCACAATTCCAACACCAATCAGCCGAGGAGGAGGGGGGAGCAGCAAGGGATAAACACACATAGTTTGGGAAGGAAAAACAGATAGGTCCGTATGCCTGTGTGTCCGTATGTCTGTGTGTCCGTATGTCTGTGTGTCCGTATGTCTGCCGTGCGGATCTGTGTGTATATGCATGTCTTTGTGTGATTTCAGTTCACCGGCTTAAGAATAACTACCAATGTCGGGACACACACCCCACGCTCCCATCTCCGCACAACCCCCTCTCGTACTCTCCCTGCTGCCCTCTCTCTGATAAAGGAAAAACTAAGTGAAACAACTGGCTGAAAAAACACGAAAAGCCGCCGTTACCCGGATTGGATCGACGTACATGGCGGCACAGCTTCAGGTTCTCCTCGAAGAAGCTCTTAATGGTTCCGATGTCCTCCCAGTAGCCGTAGAAGGGGTAGGCCACCACGTTGTGGTTCTTGGCAGCCTGTGTTGCATGGGGGGTGAGAGGGCGAGGAGAGGAGGGCAAGGGGGAGAACAGAGGCAGGTATTTATGCAATAATACGAAGCGGCCGCAAGGGGAAAAGGGCGCTCGGGCGCATCCCGTGTGATCGCACCCCCGAAACGAAATCAGAACTCATAGATTGGGGTCACAGGAAGATCTGGAACTTGCTAATCGAAGGGTGGATACGAGATTGAGTTGTTGATAAACCTCGTAACACACCTAAGGCCCCCCGCGCAACCGCACCTCCGGAATGATCTCGCCGCCGAAGTCATTCGCCTGAAACATATCACAAAACATTAGCACAAACAGATAATCGTTATCAACACCCCACCAAGTATAAGAGGAAAGTGGCCGAAAAAGAGGGGATTCCGGAAAGGGTGATATATCAGTAAATCAGTGCATCACGTGGAGGTATGACGACAAGAGGAGAGGGGTGATAGTGATAGCGCCGTCCGGGGTTGGGAGGGGTAAAACACACCAAACACGGTTGGAACATGGCCCCCGGGGCCGGCGCTGGGGAGTTGGGGGAGGTAAGGAAGTTGGGGGGGTTAGAGAAGTTGGAGAAGGTGGTTATTCAGGTATGCCTTACTGTCGCACCTTGGCGTATGTCTCATTAAGCAGCTTGCACAGCACCGACTTCTTGAACACGTAGATGCCCATTGAGGCGATGTACGGCTTGTCGGCCGCCTCATCCGGGGTCAGGCCTAGGGGGAGGAAGGGGGAAAGGTGGTTGGGGAGCATATGCAAACAAAGTCCAAGTCCGTCGCTACACCCGCCGCCGCCGTCCAGAATAGAGAGCGCGATTGGACAATATTCGAGTGAAGATTTAGGTCGGTGCGCCTTGGGGTGCATTATGGAATGAATTTAAAAAAGCAGATGTCGCATCACGACACAAGAAACATCCGAAGAGACGAAAAGAGGAAAATTATAAAGCACATAATGAAAATGAAAATAAGAAAAGGACAAGGCAACGGGCAGACGCTTTTCCCCCAGCCAACCCCTATCATTGCTCACAAAACCCCCATTCCATTGCTCACCCAGCACGGTGGTGTCGACCTTCATGGCGTCGAGCGCCTCCTGCGTCTTGGGCTTCTCCGCAAAGGACTGTTCGGCCGGGGTGTTTTGCATGGTTTGGGGGGCGCGGGGGGAGTCATCACACGCAAAATAAGGTAAGAACGGAGTGAGACCGAAAGGGCGAAGGGGGAGAGCGGTGTAGTGAAGAGAAGAAGAATGCGCTGGTCCGCCAGATGAAGAAAAAAATGTGAAACGCAGCACACGCCATAAAGAATTGTTTCGGGAGAAGGTGGCGGTAGTCGGTTGGAGGAGAAAGGAAAAACGGGGAGTAAGGGAAGTACCGAAATACCCTAGACGTACCAGCACACGGCGCTTATCGTCGATTTTCATGAGCCCAAACTCCTTCGCACGGTCCGAGCCGTACGCGATGCATCCGATGGTGATGTCCGCATTGGTCTCCCGGTGGTAGTTGACGAACTTCATGTAGTCCATACGATACCTGTGTCGTACGACACGGTACGGTTTCGTACGGCATAGTTAACGAGAAACGAATCAGTAAGTTTTCTGGGGGCGATATTGCTACATATATAGCCCGCAGCCACCCCACACCCTGCCAATGCGCGTATTTCTTAGCTGCTTTCGTTAGTAGTACTGCTCGTTAAACCTTTCACCCTCCTTGAGTTGAGCTCAGCTTCCTAAAACCGATTTAGGGTTCATCGCGATTTGGGTTGACACAAATCCATGGTAGCCGCTGCTTATACTTTTCATTAACGCGCCCCAGAGCATGACGGCGGCGATGGAGGTGGGATAGGTATATCGAAAGAAGCGCTGCTTTGTTTCCCTCATTGCAAAGGTTCGTAGGTGTAGTTGGTGTAGTTAGTGATTGTTGGTTGGTAGTTATTCGTACACTCACAGGTGATCGCCCGACAGGATAAGCACATCCTCGATGGCGCGGTTCTTCGTGTCCTCCAAAAGCCAGGAGTACTGCCGTACGGCATCGGCCGTTCCCTGCGCGTACAAACACAAAATTCCGAGCACAAAGACAACCAATAGATACCCCAACATTAGTCAAACAACACGTTGCTGTTGTCACTTCTTGCTGCTCCACGAGGCAGTTCCGGTCCACCACGAAAACACCGGGCCCCCCATCCCAACCCGCCCCCACCCGTCTAACCTAGGAGCTTACCCCACCGTGCATTGTGCTGCCCCTCATTCAAGTTATCTTCGGTTATGCCGCAACAATGCCGTACGCTATTCCGTACCTGGAACCACTCCTTGTCGGTGGGCGTCTGGGTCGCCGCCAGCACCTCCACGAAGCCATCGCCGCCAAACCGAACGCCGCTGCAGCGAAGAAATGTCCAGGCGATGCCCATTGCCAAAACAGGAAACCAAGATTACCCAAAGAGTTAGTAATACACGAAGAGAAACCCACGCAGCTTTCTTCCCCTGCCTGTACCGTCCCGGAAAATCCCCAACCCCATATCCGACTAGTAAACATATCCAGAGAACACACAGGATCAGCAAGCCGTCGATGGACTGATTCTACGAGTACGACATCATGTACGACAATTTATTAATTTATTAGTACGGCTAGACCCCGTACCTGCCCATGTTGTATGCACGCGCCAGGTGGCGGTTTAGCGATGTGGAGTTGAACTGGGTCAGAATGTAGATCTTGGAGATGCCGCTGTTGATGCAGTTGGACATGGGCACATCGATCAAGCGGTAGGCGCCGCCGATGGGTACGGCGGGCTTGGCGCGCTGCTTGGTGAGCGGGAAGAGGCGCGTGCCCGCGCCGCCACCAAGAATAATGGCTGTCGGGATAACAGGACGAGAACAGGGGCAACGGGGCCGGGTCGGCGGAGGAGATGAAAATGTGCGGTACTGCAGTTTGATTAACAAGCTGCTGTGTCTGTGAAGGAATTAGTTAGGTCGGCACTCTGGAGGTCCGAAACATGGTGGGAACCGGAGGGTGAGGAAGAAAGGAACGAAGGGGAAAAACAACAGTAGTGGTATTTGAAACCTCAAGCAAGCTCAGCGAAGCGCATTTCCCACCAGGAAGTGAACTGAGATGCGGGGCAGCGAGGTGAAGGGGGGAAGAAGGGGAGGATGGTGCTGGAAGGTAGGGGGAATCACGGCTAGTGCTGCGAGGTTGCGCGGCTAGGCAGCTTGGCGGCTTGACGGCTTATATTTTTTAGTATAGCGTGAGACTGCTGAGTTCAAAAGCGCCATCGATTAACGAAATCCTGGACCAAGACTTGTGAGCAAAGACGAGCTGGACCCGTCTTTCACATCCGCAACCCGGACGCAGTTATAGCGCACCAGCCGCTGATGGGAAGCTCGATCGCGGGCTGAAAAGACTTGACGCGCAATCTAGGAAGTGAATGGTTACGCAACAAAATTGGACAGAGAGCGCTCAGGCCAGGGTATCTTGCAGGAGTCGCGTCTTCCGTTGACAGCGACATCCGTGTCCAAAGCGAGGTAAACACAGCGAAAAGCATCCGAGTATCGCGTCTATACACATCATCCATTATAGGAGGACCGTCTAATCATTGATGCTTCCTTTCCACTCTTTCGAACAAAACAACTGACCCGACATCAAAGGGGACTTACATAGCACTGTGTTGGTGCGAGCCTTCGTCGCTGGCTCATAGCGAAGCTGCGGCGCCTCAATCACCGCCTTCACTTGAGGTGCACGCCGGGACCTGCGTGCAGCACCTTGACCATCAAGTCCATCCGCAAAATGTCCCGACAAAGGAGCATCCCATTATCCTACATACCTGACAACAGTTGTGCGGGCGATCCGGCTTGAAGTAGGGCGCACGATCCGCATTCCGCGCAGCGCTTCGCTTGAAAAGCTGGGGACGCTCTTCCTGTCCGAACACTGCGTCGTGGACGCCACGCAACGCTGTGCATGCAGGGCAGCCATTTTTACTTTGACAATGGCAATTTGGTCACGGATCGGTAATAAGCAAATTGGCTTTCACCATTACCCAAGGCGATAAGGTCTGAGTACGGCGTCGCTCTAGGCAAGGGTAATGCATGTTGATTAAGTGCTCGTCCTGTAGTGTAGTACGGCAAGTGCGGCGCGGGAGGAGCAGACCGGAATTGGCCAGAGGACAGTGACTGATACGGTAGTGCGTTACAAAGATTAGCTGGGAACAAAGCGCTGAATCCAGACAACGCTAGTTCGCCAGTCAACCGTGCAAGCAAGCGCAAGTCAGAACGTCGTCTGTTGGGGATTTTGAATTGTTTAAATAGTGATTTACTTTGTATTCGGGACCCAGCTCAATAGTAAAGTAGATAAGGCGATTTGACGTTGCTGGCATATCGGTCGCCAGTAACAGCGAAGTGATGGCAGAGCGCGAGCAATCGCGCGGCGGAGGCCAAGAAGGCTTGGAGGACATCCTCCAACAGCGGGACGAAGGAGGACACCAGAATGGCGGAGCACCTAGTTACCCGGAGGGGGCCGATGCGGTGAGTAACAGACGCCAGCTATTGCTCCGCGCGGTCAGACTGTAGGCACAGCCAGCCGCCGCAAGTTCTGTTATATCAAAGGCATGGGAGAGACCGGACCCAGTTTTAAAATAGCGGGAAAGGGATGCGCCGCCGCTGTTGTTTGACCAGGCTGGATTAGAAGCTACGGGTCAGGCTTAGCTTATGAAGAACACGAATCTGTAGACCGCGAGTGGCCGACTCAGAGTATTAGTGCTCGTGAGGTTGGGTCCGTTTCCGGTGGATGGCGCCGC